TTTACTCCCAACCTCATTTGGGAATCCATCTTTGTGCGTGGTGGAGCAATAAAATCATATGTGCACAATCAAATTTTAGATGGAAATTATTTGGTTCTTGACCCTGAACCAATTGTGATGGAAGAACCTTGTTGGCTTGATGCATACACGTTACAACCAATTATAGCTAGACCAACCAGTATTATCAACACAATTTTATAGTTTGGAACTGTGCTCTTAATTTAACAATTTGAGCAAACAACCTTACAGAAAACCAATTTGTAAGTTGATACAAATGCACATATGACCATACCATAGATGCATCTTTTAAATCTAATAGTAAGTGGTCCACATAGCAGGTGAACGGGCCCATATTCACCTTTTTATATGTTCCAAATAATTTCAGGGGATACAATCCCAACCTTAGCTGGTACAATGATCATTTTGTCATGAGAACAAACAACACATGAGAGTTCTTGAAGAATCTTTTATTTCTTCAACATATAACCACATGAATTCTCAATTCTTTTGCATCACATTTGGACCAAAATGGTCAACTAGTTATGCCAAGGTATATTTATTCTAGTAAACTTCTAGTTTACTTTTGCATGTGATTCCTTCATCATGCCCATAATTTTATTCAACAAACAAGAGAAAGACGGGCAACCTTTTATGTAAATATTCATAACCCGCTTTGATTGTAGTAATTTGAAGATATTTAATCTTTCAATAATTTACAGTCTCAATATAATAATTTTTCTTTTCAATTCCTCTGAAACTTAAAAAGTATCTTTTGAGACTTACTACAACCTCAATATTATGAACTATTTTCATTTTTGGATAGTAACAAATTAGTTCTTCCGAAACTCTTAATTAAGTTTGTGTACTATTATTATTATCATGGTTAAAATTATTACATGCAAGACTTATTTCTTGACAACCAATGACAAATTTGTGTTGCCACACAATAACATTTATTTTGGTCATGACCATAACCTTTATAGAAAATAATTATTTCTTTCTTTTGTCCTCCAATAGTTCATAATAAAACATACCACAATATTTGCGTAGTACTCAAAGTATATGACCAAAATGATCATTTATGTCAAAATTTTTTTTTTTAATATCTCAAACCTCCCGTAGAGGTGAGATAAAAAAAA